TCTAAGTGGAACTGAGTTTTTGTCCAGTCGAAGGCCCATCAGAGGACTGAGAGTCCAAGATAGTTCCTTGATAATTTGACTCGAGGTAACCCCTACACTGGAAACACGCCATGCTCTGGAAGTTGTCAAAAGACATATTCTTGTTGGATTTAAGACAGAAACTCTGTTTCCTGTCGTGGTGTTGTAACCTGATGTGTGCAGACACACAGCAGACTGACAGCTAATCAAAACATGTATGTCTTCTTCCACAATGTGGTCTTTCTGCAGGGCTTCTGTCAAACTATTTGAAAATGTAAAAAAATAAAAAAAAGATGGGAAAAAGCTTTACCTGGACCACAGAGATGTAAGGATGCATCTCGTTGCACTCTGTTTTGGTTCTGCAGCTGCTCGCCCATATCGAGTAAGTCTAAAACAAGGAAAATGTAGGTGAATGTTTTGTAAATTAGGGGGTGTAAGACAAGTATAAACATGCTCAAATTTTGGTTGAAGGAATAGTTCAGATTCTTTGAAGTTGGATTCTGTGGAATGGGGAAGATTCATTAATATCTTACCTGCTGCAGACAGCTCTTTAAACTCACTCAGTTTGGAAAAACTAATTCTGACTYGATTAACAAACTAAAAGCTAGTCTCATGAAAATTAAACTATTCTACAAACTGAGGTGGTTCAATGAGCTATCCACGACAGGTAACATATTTACTGTTCTTAAGCTGCCCCCAGAATCCTCCTTAAAATGACATGAACTAAAGCTTTAACCCTTCATGCAGATTTTACGTCAATCAACACCAATAAATCTTTAGAGAAAATATAAACAGCAGTTTCATCTTTTCTTCTGTTTAATGATATTTAAGCTTTTAAACTGATTTGAGGAGTTGTTGGAAAAAAGCAAAATGCTAAAAAGGGTCTTACTATAAAGGAGACAACAGAGAGGAAGAGGAGCAGGTTGGAAATCTTTGCAGGGAAGAGAGTCTCTCCTTTGCCCTCAGACAGCACCTGACGCTTCTGTAGCACCAGGTAGATGAAGGCAAACACCATCCCATGAATCACCGCCTGGAAAAGTAAGAAGAAAGTATAAAAAATTAGCCTGGTTAAAACCAGACCCTGTCCTTCACTTTGCTTCGTACAAGGGTCTGGACTTGCTGATTTCTTGCAGGAGGCGTGGCCTCTGTTGAAGCATATGTGTGTGTGTCGGTGTGAAGGAGGCTAAGCTAAGAAGCTAACCGGAAGTCGCGTGTGCTGTAAACAACCCTACTGAGAGGAGAAATATACCGAGCCAAATGAGATGACTGTAAATGAGAGCTGCTGCTTTGTCAAACAAATTTAATTTAATTTGGAAGCCTTATCAACACGGACTGGCTTCATTCACTTCCTCCACTGCCGTATGCTAAACTAACTAGCAGACACTGCGCAGAACATCGACGTCATTCAAAACTCCGCCTTCTGTTTGCTGATTGGCCCAGGTAAAATAAACTACAAGCTGACAC